TGCTTCTGGATACTTCATAAATAGAGTTAATTTTAGATTAAAATATCTACAGCTTCCCAATTGAAATGATGATTGAACCCAACAAAGATCTGTGCAGAAGACATGCAAAATCCTTGTTATGCCAAACACAAACATGGCAAAACTGCAAAACGCTTTTTGCTGGATTAATTCATTTTGGAAACCAAGATCCTCTACAAAAAAAACCTCAACAAGAAGGTTAGGTTTGTTTGGCAGAATGATTTTTCAGATTCTATTAGAGAAAACAAAACAGAAAGACTGGAGTGGTTCTCCCTGTTCCATTCTCTGTTTTGACAATGCAACTTTGGAGATATTTTTAACTAAGGGGATAACCAGTTTCTTTTGAGTTATTCTCCTGGCAGGTTCTTAGAAAGAAGGAAATGAAACCAATCACATTATATATTAAAGCAAGAATTTGATCCCCAAAAGTCAGAAGTCTTCCTATTTCTTCAGCATACCCCAGTGGAAAAATCTAGGGAATCTCTACTCAACAAATAAGTGGGAAATATAAAAAAATAAAAAGGGGAGGGGAGGGGAGCTACCCTTCTCTCATTCCTTCCACCTCGCTGGTAAAAACCTTTGGGATCAGGAAGTCTCTGGCCACCCAAGGTATATTTACAATTGTTTCTTTTTTATTGTGCTTGGATGCCTTTGCAAACTGCCTTGGACATTTGGTTGGATTCTGGGAACTATGATCAAAGCCTTTTACCACTTCTTCAGATTTGTTTGGGTCCCACAATTCCCCCTATGTGAGCCCAAGCCTAGAGAAAAACAACGATACAAGGCAAGGGACAATGCCACCACTGTGCACTTTGTGAAAAGAATTGAGTTGGATTATTGCACACCCACTCCTGTAATACCAAACATCTGTAGTCTGCCAACATAGTTCCTATGTTCTGAGTTTGTGTGCAAAGAAGAGCTTTTTTAATGAGCTTTTTTTTTCTAAGAGTAGTGAACGTAGTTGTGAATAGTTATGAAAATCAATTTTCAGCTCTCTACCAGCTGGTTTTGGACACATTTCCACCATCTGCAATATGGTGAGTGAACCGGAAATGGAAGTGGATTTTGCCTTGAGTCTTACAAATTGCTTTATGCCAGACTACTTTGCCTTTCCAGGAGATACGATTTTGTGCTGTATTCAGAATCAGAATCAGAATAGAGCTAGAAGGGACCTTGAGATCTTCCAGTCCAGCCCCTTGCTCAAGCAGGAGGTCCTATAACAGTGATGGCAAACCTTTTCGGCACCGAGTGCCCAAAACGGAACACAGGTGCATGTGCGCATGCCGGAAAACCGAAGACCAGCTGGCCGGTGCATGCATGCCTGGTTTTTAGCTGTTTTTGGCCGTTTTCAGGCCATTTGGGGGGGGGGTTTCAGGCTGTTTTTCGGGCCATTTTCAGACCATTTTCGGGCCAAAAACAGCCTGAAAACATATTAAATATATTAATATTAATGATAGAACTGAATTGGAATAGAATGTGTTGTTTTAATTACATACATTTATAATTTTTTCTTTTTTAAAGAATATAGTGTGTATTTTAAGAATGTACCAAGCAGAATCCGAATGGAAGTTATGTATTATATTGAATGTTATAACTTTAGGGTATATATTGAAGCCTAAATAAGAGTTAAATGGATAAACTCAAAAGATATAAAGGCTTCATACTCCAATCAGTAACTACAGGAGAAATTTTGTTTAATGAGAAAAGATAATAGATAATTGAAACAGGACAGACAAAAAATATAAATATAATGATTTGAATTGAGATGAGATCATTAAAATAAAATTGAGAAAATTAAAAGAGGGGAGAAGCTATGCAGAAAATGTAAAACAGTAATAAGATATGGAATAGAACATAAAAATGAGCACGAAGTTGAATTTGTGTCTGTACGAAGAAATGTAACCCCGGATTACGCTACTTTCAAAAAAGATGTTTTATTTGTATTTTTTTTTCTTTGTGAAAACTCAAATAAAATTTACCAAAAAAAACCAAAACCCTCCAGTGATGAAGCACCTGCAACTTCTGGTGGCAAGCTGTTCCACTGTCCCTGTTAGGAAGTTTCTCCTTAATTCCAGATTGCTTCTCTCCATGATTAGTTTCCATCCATCGTTTCTTGTCCTGCCTTCTGGAACTTTGGAGAATAGCTGGACTCCCTCTTCTTCTTGGTGGCAGCCCCTCAAGTACTTGAACACTGCTGTCATGTCGTCATCCCCAGCCCTGCTCATTTCTTCTTCTTCATCACAGGTCTTTTTTTTTCCATCAAAGGCTGCTTCAAAGAAGTGAGAAGAGCAGAGCACATAACATCCCCCCCCCCCATTAGATGTCAGTTGAAGGTCTCTGGAGAATCAGGCAACTTCATCAGAGCAGTTAAAACCCCCCCAGGGGTGGTGGGATTCCTAAGGGGGAATTAAGTTGGCAATTAAATCCTCTCTTCAATTCAGACTGTCATCGTAAACCTGCTTATCAGGTAATGGATTCCATTGAATTTGAACAAGGATGTGATGCATGCATAAATCGGGCTGTGATTGAGTTATGAGGTGGGGCAATGCTTTCGTGTGCATTTGTGTGGCTTTTTTTAGGTACAAAATTTTTTGTGTTTCTTGAAAAACACGTGGCTTCCCGGAGCCATCCGGTATTTCAATTCTGAAATGTTGATGGCCACCCCATCACTCACCATCGTGTAACTGCATTTTGGGCACCTAGCAACTGGCTCACATTTACACAACCATGTAAACAGCGACTGTACATTTTTGCCCAAACCCAGGACGGAGGTGGCTACTGGAATAATCATCTTCCCCCTGAACTTCCTGCCCACCTCCATCCATCTTTTAATTCATATTACAGTATTACAAAATTTTATTATTTTCACTGCTTCATTGCTTCATTATTGTTATGTTTACATTTTTCTCTCTTTTTTTTTCTCTTTTACTCTTGTAAGCCATCCAGTGTAGCCCCAGGGCAGCAAATAAATGTAACAAATAATTAAATAATTTTACTTCCAGTTTTCAGGAAAACTGGCCCATAATGAACAACTAGTTCGTTTAATGAACACTGCCAGAAAAGTGTCATAAAATCAGGTCAGTCATGTGACAATTTGCTTTACAACTGTCATGACTTATAACCTTAATAGGCCGGCTCCACTATGGTCATAAATAATTTTTATATAACTACTTATATAAAAATACTACTTATTAACATATTACATTGATATAATAAAATATTGATATTTTATTACTGTATTTTGAAAAAAAATTAACATTTTCTCATAGAGAGCTACTAATATTCAGGTCTGGTTAGGAACTGTACTATAATCAAATGCTGGATACTTAACTTGAATTTTTGTCAATGTTGCTTTGGCAATTTTCACCAATTTTCTAAAAGTTGTCCTTGGAGTAGAATAAGCAGACTGGAATCACCTCTGAAAAATTATTCCATTGTTAATTGTACATACAGAATGTGAGGTTTTATGGAGACCAAACACTTCTCCTGTGTGGATAAAGTTACTGATCCTGTCCCTGAAATTCTGAAGTTCAAGAACTCAAATAAGCATGTCGCAAAATGAGTTCCTAAACATCTCCTTGGAGATTCAGGATCAAATACCTTTTAATTCTTATTTTTCATTTATAAAGCACCTAACATGCACTTCGTGTGGTACACAACGTTAAGAACAAGGCATCCTCTCCCTGCTGTCTTACAGTTTAAAACTCCATAAGACAAATGCAATGGGGAAGGCAGAGGGAAAAGGACAAACCCAGATACCATGTTCTTATTACAACCAGCTGGAATAGGGACCAGTTGGATCCCAAGAGCAAGTGGATTCTTATACCTCTTGGGCTTCAGATCAGAGGAGGAGTGGCTAAAAAGAAAATTGGTACTCTTGAAACAAAATCTGAGCTCCAAAGGATAGTGAGGAGTAAGGTGGCTTGGTGTATCCTCCTGTTCCTTGGCTCTCATTTGTACCTGGCACTTGGCAACACAGAAAGGGCCCCACTGAATCAGATTAATCAGCCCTCCGAGGCCACCACCCTCAAAAGCCAAAATGTGCTAGTGCCTTCTGGGCTAGATCAGGGCTATTCAGCCTGAAAGCTCATTAATGCTTCAATGTACCCCTCCTGTTCCAGTGAGTTGGCTGTCAGGAATTCAGAAACCTTTTCATTCTGTGTTGAGAAGTTTTAACGATCCCGGCAAACTCCAAGAGCTGACTGTGAATTTTTTTTTATTATTCCTGGCATGGGAATTTTTTTTTAAAAAAATCCACCATCGCTATAGAAAAATGAATCACCCGCCCCACACACAGCTAGTCATATCCCACATTTTACTTTCTTGCTATTTAAAAGTATCCTTTCCCCGTTCAGTTTATTTCAAAGGAAAAAGGAGAGGTAATAAATACAGATGCTTCAGCGACAAGATTCTGAAGACAGGCTGATCTCCCCAAACTATTTCTGTGCTGCAAAGTTTCAGTTAAGTAAACGGGAACAATTTAGCCTACTAAATTGACTACAGGATTGTATCTATTGGGGCCTTACAAAAGGATCACAACCTTTTCACGAATTCCCACTTCAGATTCACTTCATGTTTTTTTGTGCTTGAGACTCTAAGCTAGGACAATTCACTTCCACCAGGATGTGTACCTAGGCAGGATCACTTTATACACTCAGCACAATCGATCTGTTGATTTCCCCACCCTCCCTGTAGCATTTAGGGAAGGCATTAAAGACATGTTCCACAGGAAAAGGAGAGCAAAACCCCCTCATAACTCTGTATATAGAGAGATCTAGCATCTTCTCTTAGAGGTCTCTATCTATCTTCTATCCTGACAAGGCAGCCTAAAATTCTAGCTTTGATCCACTGAATGTTATCAACTCACTTGTCAGTTTGGTGAAGATTGGACTGGGAGAATACACACTCATTCTCAAGAAAATTTGAGGTTGGCTAAAACCAGCCTAATAAAACATGACTGTTGAAATCAAGTTTTTTGCTTGTCTGGGTAAACAGTGTTTGTCAACTTGAGCAAATTTAAGATGTGTGGACTTCAACTCCCAGAAATCCCCAGCCAGCACATTTTAAAGGAGCCAAGGTTGAGAAATTCTACAGAAAGGCACTAAGTCTGCCAACAAACAAGGTACTCCTAATTTTGAAAGTTGACCATGGTGGAAGAGGGTTGGCAACCGGTGGTAATGTCTGCTACTTCTTTTTAAGAGCCCAAAAATGAAAGAATATTGATTCTATATTATCCGCTACAAACCAAGATGAAGACTAAGCCCTCTGACGTCTTCAGAACCTCCATACAGCAGAAGTGACTTTCACTTTACAGGACAATGGGAGCTGAACCTAAATTAACAGAGCAAGAAAATATGAAGGGCATGATTGGTTCCAAGAATGATGGTGGTTGGTGGTTCTCACCGTCCCTTCCAACAAGCAAGTTTATATATATTATTTCCACAACTGGTTGCCTTTAGATGTCATTTTTTGCCTTCTACGAGGAAAAATGGTGACCAGCAGACCACTGAAACGTGGACCATGGGATGGGAGCCATTCCATTCCTCAAGCATCCACAGAGTTCACTTCTTGCTGATTATTCCTCCATTTGCTTGTCTTCTTCAAAGTCTTCTTTTTGGGGTGTAAAGGTCTACAGGGACAAATGTCACTGCACTGTTCCTGGCAGAGGTGCTACTGTCCTGTCCTAAAACAGGGGGGATGTTGGTCTTTGCATTCTTTGGCTCCAGCTCTCGTTTGATTCTCATGTGCCTACAAAGAACCAAGCAGACTTTGTGTTAGTGTGCTGGCTGTGCAGCAGCAAACACAAAAAGCTGTGGCCCGACAGCTAAGCACCCCTGTTGTAGATAAGCTTTTGCAAATCACAGCCCTGATGCACAGGGCATTCTTCCAAGAAATCGTCCATTCAGGAGAATCTTCCTGAAATTATTTTCTTTTTAGAATAAATTTTACAATGTTTAAAATCAAATTAAATGAGAAAAGGTAGGGGAGGGGTATTGGAGGACATTTCCTTTCTCTTACATGCATTCTTCCCCAAATCCTCCGCAGCTCTAAAAATATACAGGTACTTCTCAACTTACAACCATAATTGGGATCAGAATTTCTGTTGCTAAGCAAAATGGTTGTTAAGTACGTCACACTGGATTTTACAACCTTTTTTTCTGCCACGGTTATTAAGCAAACCACTGTACTTAAGTGGATCATATGGTTGTTAAGAAATTTGATTTCTTCCATTGACTTTGCTTGTTGGAAGCCAACTGGGAAGGTTGCAGATGTGATCACGTCACCCCAGGGTGCTGCAACCATTGCAAATACACGTCAGTTGCCAAGCGCCTGAATTTTGATCACGTGACTGTGGGGATGCTGTGAGGACCAGTCATAAGTCACTTTTTATAGTACCGTTGTAAGTTTGAACAGTCATTAAATGAATGATTGCAAATTGAGGACTGTACACTGTACCACAAGAATGTTCAGGAGGTCCTGAAGTGACTGCTTTAATTTATCAGATTTGTAAGGTTGCCCAGCTCAAAAGAATTTGGGATGGCATACAATATTAAAAACAGAATATATACAACAATTAACAAAAGAGATTAATTGTTGCTCGAAGTGCTCATAATATTTTTAATCAATCAATTAGATTTATTTACAGGGATTTTAGGCTGCTTTAGTCAGAAGCAACCCTTGCCGGCTTCTTTCTCCACCGGTAGTCCTCCTCGACTTACAACAGTTCATATAGTGACTGGACTGACTCATATTTATGACGGTTGCAGTGTCCCCGGATCCCTTTTGAGACCTTCTAACAAGCAAAGTCAATGGGGAAGCCAGATTCACTTAACACCCGTGTTACTAACTTAACCATTGTAGTGATTCACTTAACAACTGTGGCAAGAAAAGTCGTAAAATGAGGCAAAATTCACTTCATAAGTGTCTAACTGAACAACAGAAATTTTGGGCTCAGTTGTGGTTGTAGGTTGAGGGTGACCTCCATTTGTCTTTTTGACAAACAAAAACGGCACCTGAGCTTGCAACGTCTCACAAAAGGAAAATGGCAGAGAGCCTGAATGTAAAAATGTGGTGACAGCAGGATTTATGAGGTAAAAAACGCCCACAGAACACACAACCAGAGTAATAGCTTTCCTCAGACACAGTGCTATCAAAATAAGCACATCCACCTCATGATGTCATTTGTGCAATGATGTCATTACGTATGTGATGTCACTGCTCCCCTCACCTCTCAGAAACCGATGAACAGAGTGATTGCATCCAGACAGCAGACCAGGGATGTCAAACTCACACCGTCATGGCGTTGTCACGTGACATAGCATGACTTTTTCCCCTTTGCAAAACCGGGTGTGGGCATGGACAGTGCGTCACACATCCAGCTGTGAGTTTAACAGCCCTGCAGTAGATGGTTCTCCTGAAGAATGAAAGGAACTGGAGAGAGAGAAAAATCAAATGGCTAACCTGTTATATGTTTTAAGGATGAGCAGAACTGTTGTAAATATTACTATGACGCCCACGACAATAGCTGCTACTATTGCTCCAGAGCCTAATGAGGAGAAAGAAAGAAAAACATCAACTTTTATGTACAGGCTTTTAAATATACTTCAATTGCTAGTTTATAATACAATATAATTCCCATGTTTTAGGATATGTACAAAAATACCCCAAAATTTTATCTTTTTTTTATCTGTTTTCTTAAAAATTACTATAGGTAATTGTTTACTATAGGTTTAATTCACCCTTAAAAGCCAAGTAGTCCTCAATTTATGACTGTTCTTTTAGTTAGTGTAATTAAGGCAGAGATGGTCCTGTAGGTTTTTTTGATAGGAGGGGCTGGGCGAAAATGTCCTTGTGTCTCCCATGGAAGAACTCCTTTTACAACTTTTTAGTAATTTTATTTGTGCCTTTGTGGTGGGATTCAAAATGTTTCACTACCGGTTCTGTGGGCATGGCTTGGTGTGTACCTTAACCACTACATCAAAGTGGCTTTCTCCTGGTAAATCAGCAACTTACCAGTTTGGATATATTTCTTAATGCATGGTCTTAACAGGACAATTCAGATATTGTGCATTATGTTAACTGTACTTTGAGGGTTTTGTTATGGATTGAGAAAATGTACCATAAAGTGACAGCAAACAAAAAGAGTTAAATTTTATTCCTCATGTATCTCTTCATTCCATCTTCATATGCCACCATAAACGAAAACTTATGTGGCTATAGTTTACTGAAATGAAACCTTTAACTCCTTTAGGATTAAAAATATAACTCCTTCCAATACTCCCATCAACACTGACAGGGCAAGCCATGTAGAGTTGTAATTGCAGGAATGTTCCAATCTCGGATGGCAAACCTCAGATAAAGAATGTTTCCAAGCAAATACAACTCAGGTAAACAAAGTCACTAATGTAAAGGAGGATTAGAGAGAGGAAGTAAACATATGTTAGACTTTAACTAGAGATAATTAATTGTATGGATTACTGTGCTAAACAGTAATGAAAGTTAAGCAGTAACCAAAGTTAACCAGTGATGGAGGATAACTAAAAATGTGTATAAATGCAAGACTAGATTCCAATAAAGATCATCATGATTCAGTTGTTCATGATCAAACAACTCGACTGCCTCGTCATTACAACAAAGCCACTTGTATATAAACAGAGAGCAAACCCCTTCCAGCGCTGATCATATTACTTAATTGGATAATGAAACGTCTGCCAGAAAACAACCAAGCTCAGAGAGCATCAAGGACCCCACATATGTATTTCCAATTCAGTTCCCAGTTGAAAGAATTACTAATCCAGCTCTTCAGATCCCGTCACCTCTGCAGCAACTGGGACCTTGTCAGAGAAAATCCAGAGTTGTTTCATTCAAACCCTGAAGGTGTTTCTTCACACTCTAGTGGTGAAAAGCCCAGAGGTGGCATTCAGCAGGTTCTGACCAATTCTGGAGAACCAGTAGCGGAAATTTTGAGTAGTTTGGAAAACAGGCAAATCCCACCTCTGACTGGAGATTTTACAGTATCGTTCCCCTGCCATGCCCACCAAGCCATGCCCACAGAACTGGTAGTAAAAAAAAGTTGAATCCCACCACTGGAAAAGCCCATAAAATCTCCCGGTGCCACCCCTTTCTTTTCTTACTCTGATAAAGGATTTGCTGTCGAGATTTTGTGGTCACGTTCTTCCAAGGCAGGGAATATTCAGACGTTGGGGCAGCTGTAGTCATCTTGATTCCAACTATGCAGAACATGGGGAAAAAAACATTAGTATGATGCAAAGGCAATTTAGTAGGAGAATCGTAAGAGAGGCATCAACATCAGGCAAGCAGCATCTGTTGCAACTGATACAGCAAACAGACTTTCTGGTTCCACAAAACACATTGGTTTTGTCCAGGTGATCACTGTTGTGGTTAGCTGGCAACAGGTGCGGATGGCTGAGGAGAGCGAGGACTCAGATGAGGGGCCAGGACCATTAGAAGTGGACTGCTGCCTTCAGAGATTGTGGGGGCTGGCAGCAGCGGTGAGGAGGTTCCCGAGGAGCCTGTGCCAAGTGCGCTTGTGTACAGGATTGCTCGTAGGGAAAGAGCAGCTGCAGCAGCACGGGCAACTTGGGAGTAAGGCTGCAAGGTAATGGTCCCTCCTTCAAGAAGATAAAAGCCAGCTGTTGAATCAGACGTTCTTTGCAGGAAGCAAAGACGTTTTGAAACTCGAGCCTCGTGGACATTGCAGTATCTTAGTTGGTATTTGAAGAGTCTTGTGTTGTGAAATATTTCTTATCTGTTGTTTTTTGGCAGCCTTGCAAAAACTTGGCAAGGCTCTTTCTTGTCGGAGCTAATCAGTTGGAAGCAGCCTTTTATATGTGAGGAAACAGGATTCATAGATGAAACATTAAAAGGTTATGCTGCTGCCTTTGTCTTGTGTTTGCTCTCTGGGAACCAGGTTTGGGTCAGAACAATCGCACTACACATAGGGATGGCTATAAACAAGCTATTAAAACTATTTTGTTCATAGTCCGTCTCCTAAGGATCTCAGGGTGAGATTCAATCCATTTTCTAAAAAAAAAATGATGTAAAAGAATGCTAGCTAGGGAATTCTGGAAGTTGAAGTTCGTACATCTTAAAGTTGCCAAGTTTGAAAAAACCCTGATCTAAAGTGACTGTATGCAAAAGGGAATAAAGCACCATATCCGTTCTTATCTTGATCTTCACTTTAAGAACTCATTCACTTTGAAATGTTTATAATGGCTACATGACTGTGCTTCCTCTTCCATGCTCAGCTAAGTGCCGCCACCTAATTAGATATAAACATGCAAGCAACAAGCCCACAAATAGGTAGCCCTTGAAGCATGGCCATAGTTGGGTCCAGAATTGTAATCATAAGTCATGCCAATTGTCATCACGCAACTTCAGGTGGTCCTACACTTTACTTCTTTTGTACAGTGGTCGTTAAGTTAATTCAGCAGTCATTAAGGAAACCCATTGTCTGCAAGGGGCGCTTTTTGCCAAAAGCTGGAAATAAACACTGGTTTCTGGCAATCGCAGTTGTGTGAATGTGGGATGCTGCAGGTGACTGTAATGTAGGCTGGTTGCTGAGTACCCATAATGTGATCCCTGGGATGAGGGCATCCATCAGAATCCAGGTCATAAGTAAAATGGTAGCTAGTCTCCACTTATGACCACTCATTTAAAAATGGTTCAGAGTTGGGGCAATGCTGAAAAAGGTGACCTTCAGCCTGAAGTTATGACCATTGCATCACTCCCACAGTCATGGGGTTGTAATTTGGATGCTTGGCAACCTGCTCACATTTATCAAGGCTGTAATGTCCGGTGGACTTCCAATAAGCAAAGTCAGATACAGACTTTAATAAAGGGATAAAGGGATCTTGTAGGTCATCTAGTCCAGAGGTCTCCAACCTTGGCAACTTTAAGATTTGTGGACTTCAACTCCCAGAAAACCCCAGCCAGGAACCCCCTGCCCAAGCAGGAGACCCTACACCATTTCTGACAGAGTCGGAAAGTCAATGGGGAAAGTCAGATTTGCTTAAAAACTCTGTGAATCACTTAACAGCTACATGCTTCACATAATGACTGTGTGACTCACTTAAAGACCACAGTAAAAATGATGGCAAAATTGGGTCTGGTCATATGATCCCTTGCTTAACCATGCCATCATTTAGCAACAAAAATGTAGGTCCCACTTGTGGTTCTACCCATACAAAACCTTTTGCCAAGGTTTACTAGAGGCAAAAATGGGATAAGTATACATGATATATAGATAATAAACAGCATATGTTTTTTCAAACATGTTAGTTGTCTAAAAACAACTTTATTGTCTATTTCCAGCCTCTATGTGTGGTTGTAGGAACTTCACCACGATTAGTAAATGTTTTCAAATTTTCTACCTTGAATAGACAGGATGGGTCTTTTTTAAACCTTGGAAATAAAAACAGTGGTCATCTAGCCACCCTCACCCCCCCAGGCCAGAAGAAATGGTTAGAAAAATCACAGCTGGCTGTAAAGGCTGGTGAATGGAGCCCAGCACCTACTATGGTAATACTGAAACTTATATAACTCCACTCTATAATGCAACTTTTCTAAATGAAATTTCAGAAGCACAAGTAAAAACTAAGAGGGAACTTAAGCTCATTGCTGGCAACATGCCTCCCCTACCCCCCACTGCTCTCTGCCCCATTGGTGTCTCTTGAGAGTTTTGCCCCAAGCTTTCAATGCTTTGAATTGCGAAGTTGTTTGCACTGTGTACCCGCCGTCTCAGAGTTTCCAGCCAAAAAGGGGCAGCAGCGAACATGAAAATAACTCTGGATCTGAATCTATAACGGCTGTCATTCTCCTCCAAGTGAATTGTGCCTTTGTGGACCCAACGATGACCTACTTTTGTAACCCAATCATCTAGTGTGGTCAGGGATCCTCTTTCTCCAGTTGTCTCCTTTTTTTGAAAGAATCTTGTTCCAAAGTTCTCCTTTGCAGCTCAACTGGCCTCCCCTCCCTCCCTCCCTCCCTCCCTCCCAGCTGACTACCAATTTCTAATGCAGGATCCTTTCTCCATCCTAGGCATCAAATCCATGTCCCCTAAAGGCTACCGTGGAACATTTCACTGCTGTTTCACGAGGCTTTGAAGGGTCAAAATGGAGTGAAGCGGGTGGGGGGTTGTTCCTCTTTTGGGGAAGGTGGCAGCAAGGCTGAGTCAATATTATCTTAAATAAATAAAGTGAAGGGCCAAATGACACACAAGTCAGAAGACATTTCCATTTTTGGAAGATGTTCACCTCGGACTGTTCCTTTCAGGAGGGAGAGATTTTGCTCGCTCTTATTTTGTCACCGGTGGTCCATAAAACCGTCTCCTCAATATTCTGCTCTTCGAACTGCAACAGGGAGGGAGGGAGGGAAGGAAGGAGGGAGGGAGAGAGGGGGAGGGAGAGAGGGGTAGGAGGGAGGGGGAGGGATGGAGAGAGGG